CCAGGTTCTCCGAGAGGGGCGGAGGAATCGAACTCGGGTCGGCCATGTTGACCGCTTGTAAGGCAAATGCTCTACCGCTGTGCTATCGCTCCAGCCCTATATTTTGTTTTATGTTTTATTTTATATAGAGTCCTTGCACATCTTTTGTCAACTATTTCCAAGTAGTTGATTATTTTTATGCTTTTTAAAATGACACTTAAGCCCCACTTTCACATTGTTCTTGCATCCTGGGACCCGGGATATGGCTCAGTTGTGGAACACAGACCCCCCTCCCCCAATGCATGAGGGCCTGGGTTTGATTGCAGGCACCACCAAACAGAAATTTTAAAAGATAGTACTGAATTATCTTGTATCTTTCAACTTACATTTATCAAGTTTCAGTAATTGTCTTTTATACCTTTTCGCTGAAAAATATTTTAATACAGGTTTATTTGTTCCTGTCTTTGCATGCATTTTAATAGTTTATAGATTCTTTTGAATTTTGCATGTAAACAATGAAATCAGTGCATAAGATGATTTTGTTTCTTCCTTTTTATTTTCTTCCCTATTACACTAGGATTTATTGAGAGGCTAAATAGCTTACCTAGCTTTACATAGTAAGAGCCAAGATTGAAATGAAGTGATAGGACATCAGGTAAAGCACCTGCCTTGCAATGGGTTCAGACTTTGGCAACTCATATGGTCCCAAGAAACCTGTCATCAGCCCTGTCAGGAATGATCCCTGAGCTTAGAGTCACAAGTAAGTACTGAGTACCACCATATGTGGCCCCCAAACCAAACCAAAACCAAAAAATATACACTAGTCTGATACTCAAACACCCCAGAATATAAAATTTTCTTGTTTTTATTGTTTAAGACGACACAGCCAGAAAAATTAGGGCCATACTGAAAAGGATCTTAAATATTAGGTAAAGCTTTTGAATTGTATTCTGTAGCCAAAGAAGGCTTACTGAGTATTTTCAAGTGGGCAAATAATGGGGGAAAAGTCAGCATGGTTTGGAAAAAGTCCCTTAATTATTTCATAATCATTTATTGAACATATGCTATGTTCTAGAAAGTATATTTGGGGGGGGGGAGTGCCTGTGTTTTTTGTTTTGTTGGCCAGTCCCAGCTTCATGCTTAGGGGTCACACCACATAATGCTGAAGAAATCATGCAGAGCTAGTCATGTAACCAGAGGCAAGTGACCCGGCCCTCTGAGCTGGACCCTTGATCCATAGCAGTTGTTACAGGTACTGAAGAAATACAGATGAAGATACATTGCTGAACTTCAGTGATGGACAAGTGAATTTTAGCAAAATATGCTAACCAGGTTTACAGAGTGAACTTCTTTGAGCTTGATGTAAAATGGGAATACATACAATGCCTACTTTGATTAGAAATTTTTTAAATGTAATACACTTGACCTATATTAGACACACTTATGGCAGTTATAATTAAGGTATCTGGAGAGAGCACACAGTAAGAATGAAACATTTGGTCATGTTGTTTTGTTCAAATTGTCAAACAAGCATTTGAACTGTTTTCACCCCCTCGAATGATTACAGGTTTAAGAGAATTAACTATGGGTTTTTACTTTTGTCATTTGAAAGGAGAGAGCACCAAAATAGAGATAACTGTGTTACGTATAGATATGGTCGACATAGCAACATTCCTTCACATTCTTACACAGTCAACATAGAACTTTGTCTTTTCTGTTTTGAGGGGTGAGAGGAGGGAGGGCTCATACAGGCTCACACTTGGCCGCTTTGGGGACTTCTGCCAGCTCTGGACCTTGCTGGGGATTAAAGCAGACTCAGTAAGGCAGAAGTCAAGAACTTGAACCCCAGTACTATCTTTCCAGCCCAGCAGAGTATTTTTGTCCCCACTATTTAAATTCTCGCAGCGATTATACAAAAGAAGAAATTTAGTGACTTGTCTAAAGTTACATGGTAATAAAGTCCAGTTCGTATGTTTATTTGCCTATCTGCTGTTGCTTTTTATTGTACTCTTGCAGGCTAGTAGAGTTAATTAAAAAACCCTCATTGAATCTTCCATTTTCACGAGGTTCGTGTGTGAAGAAGGTGAACAGTTGAGACTGAATGGAGGAGAGAAAGCAGAACAGAAATGTTTTTCCTTCTAGAACTCATATTCTGATTTTCCTTAGGTAGAGTCTAACATATAAATCATTTTTCTTTATCACTTTATGTTCATTTATGATTTTACTCACATTTCTAATTGGCTTGTTTCCTTTCCTCATCCATTCATGGTTCTAAGCTTCTGCTTCTGCGAAATTTCAATAATTTCCTTCCCTTTTGTGATGTGCACCCACAGTTTTTCCTTATTGCAACGTCCTCGGTTGGTAGTAAATCTAGTTCCTATATCTTTGCTTTCTCTTTTGCTTTCACTGCATCATTAAATGAACTTATTTAATACCTCTCCTTCCTATTCATTTTGCAACATCACAGTGATAATGCACTAATAATTAGGGTTATTTTCATGAATGATTCTGAGATCTTACAGAAGCTTCAGTTCTTTGAACAGACTGAAACATTTTAAAAAACTTACTCAAAGAACAAGGTATTGGAGTGTGATGGAGAAGGGGACGCGGAGATTGGATCAGGTAAGATTGTTTATATTTTAAAAGATTCAGTTAAACAACATGATGTTAGACCTCGCTGAGAATCATACTATACATAAACAAGAACGAGACGTGGTGCGGGACTTGGAATAACTCACAATCTCTTGTGAAGTAGAAAGACAAATGCAGAAACAACATCAGTGCAAAAACTAGATTATTATTCGGATAAAAGCATGAAACGCTAAGGAAAGGCAGAGACTACTAGAGAGCAGAAGTTTCAAGATTCCTTCAGGTTCCAGGCAACTGAGTAGCAGCTGGACATGGAACTCATTATGTTACCCTGTCAGATTTTTTTGTTTGCTTTACTTTTGTAGGAACAGCCGTATATCTTACATTTTATTGAGTAATATGGAAATGCAACGGGGGAGTCATTTATTTGCACAGATAGCATGGGTGGTTTTTGAAAGTGTGAAATCTACTGTTGCAAAGGACTGATGGACTCTGGACTTCTGCCAAAAAAAAAAAAAAAAAAAAAGGGACTCAAAGCAAAGGGAAAGCTTTCTTCAACCCAGCTAGAGTTGGGGGGTGAGGACAAGAAAGAAAATGCCAGTCAGCAAAGTGACAGACCTCAGGTGACTACTACCTCATGGCAGGAACAGAATGAACTACTACTATGGGAAGAAGAAAGGCCCTAAAAACCTAAACCAAACCCCAATTCCTGTTTCTTCTCCCAGTAATTTGGAAAGCTTTCAATTTTCAGAGAACTTAATTATGTTGTTCTAGGAAAAATGATCTTTTAAACATGCAAAATAAATTAATACCTGGTCAATGCAAACATTTCGAAACAGGATAGTTAAGTAGACAAAAGAAAAGTGGAAGTACTCAATTACACACCCACTTTGCAGTGCTAACAATTGGCTGTGGCCTTCCAAATATTTTATACTCATAGGAAAACATATATTCAAACATACATTTTTTTTCTGCTTCCAAATAAAACTGGTGATATGCCCACAAATTTGAGGTTGAAGACACCATTAAAAAAAAAATTTGAGCTTTTGGACTGGCCCCAAACTAGCTCAAATCCTCTCCCACTTCCTGACTGACCTTAGGCAAATTATTTTGCTTTGCTTCTTCAAGTTTCCTTTTTTTTTTGGGGGGGGGGGCTAGGGGACGAAGGATATAACTGGTACTTGCTTTCTAGGGCTTGAAGATCAAAATCTATAGCATATATAGAGATGATTTACCTGGACACCAGATCCATAGTTAAGTGCTCAATAAACAATAATATTTGTGGCAAGTGACCTTTCGCATAAGACTGAAGAAATCTGTTAAAGAAATCTTGTTCATTTGTTCCAAGGAACCATACCTAAGGCTGGGAGAACTTGCTTTTCCGAAGCATGAAACTCATGCATGTAACACTTTATTGAGGGCTCTTGCAGAATTTTCGGTGCAACTCCTGCAACGCCTCCCCCCATCCCAGCACCCCTCCACTCTCACCCAACGCCCCCCCCCCCCCCCCCCCCGCCCCGGCCCATAAAGCTCTCAGGTCTGGAAAGTGGACTTGCCAATTCAAGAAAAAGAAAAGAAAAGAAAAGAAAATCCCACAAACTTCAGCGTCTTACACCGGGAAGAGAAGATTCGACCAAGTTAGGGTTTGACACGGGGCGCACTTTTGCTTTATCATGCAGTTGCCTAGGAGCGCCCACCGTCGCGCGCCCCCCACCTCCATGCCCTCTCCGACCCGAAAAGCCTCTCCTCTTAGGAACCCACGACTTAAAAGGATGAGGGGCGCCTGCAGAGAGCAGCTGCCAGAGTCCGGGCGTGCGAGGTGCGCCCTCAGGGTGCAGCCGGCCGGCGGAGGGGCCAGCCCCAGTTGGAGGCAGAAGCTCCCCCCCAGATCGCCGTCCGGGGGAGGGTGGAAGGGGGGTGGGTGAGCATCCTCCCTCCCCGTCCAGCAGCCCGGCACTCTGCAGCCCCGACCGGGCTCGCTTTCTTTCGGGGGCACTGCCCTTTGCTCTTCGCAGGGAGTCATCTGTTTACTGTCCCTGCGCTTCCAGTCACCTACGGGTCACCCTCTCCCGCCCCCAGTTTCACCCGTTTTGTGCCCCCCTCTCCCTCGGGTCGCCCCTGCTCCCAGGGACGGAGATGCTGCGGACCCCGCGGCTCGCGGGGGGCCCGGCCGCGAAGCCTCCGGGTCCCTCGGCCCCGTCCCCGGGGGGCGCGGGAGGCAAGTTTCCGCCCCGTCCTCTCCCCGGTGACAGCAACTCGGCGGCGGCGGCCGCGGCCGGAGAGGCGGAGGGGAGGGAGGGAGGGTGGGAGGGAAGGAGGGACGAGCCCGGCGCCCGCGCCCCCTCCCCTGCCCGCGAGCTCGCGCGGTCTGTGTGTGTCTCTCTCCGCAAGTGCGGGGACGCGGAGGAGGAGGAGGAGGAGGAGGTGGAGGAGGAGGAGGAGGAGGAGGAGGGAGCCGGGGGAGGATCGCCATTGAAATAAACAAGCAGGCAGCAGTTATTAACACGGGAACATGGCGGCCGCAGCCTCAGCCGCGGCTTGGGCGGCGAAGGTCAGCGCCGACGGCCGCCGGCACCTGACGGCGTGAGCGACCCGAGCCGGTAACCGCGCCTTTCCCCGGGGGCCGCCGGGTCGGGCGGGCGGGCGGGCGGGGGGCGCCGCCGCGTTCCCACCCCCAACCCTCCCCCCCAACACACACTCCCCTCCGGCCGCCGCGGCTCTTCCTGCGCCGAGCGGGGCAGAGACGGGCGCCGCTGTTTTTTTTTTTTTTTTGTGCGCGCGCGCGCGCGTGTGTGTGTGTGTGTGTGCATGTGCGTGTGTGTGCATTTGTGTGTGCATGTGTGCGAGCCGGCACCGGCGGCCGGAGTGCGCGCAAAAGCCGGAGTTGCATCCCAGCGCCGGCGCCGCCGCGGAGCTGGGGAGTTGGGGCTGGGTGGTGGTGGTGGTGGTGGTGGTGGTGGTGGTGGAGGGGGGTGGTGGCGGCGGCGGCGGCGGCGGCGGCGGGGAGGGCGGGAAGCAGCGGGGAGACGCGGAGTCCCTGGGAGAGAAAGGAGGCGCTCCAGCGCCGTGCGGAGAAGAGCTCGGGAGACGAGTCCCGGAGCGCGAGGCGGGCGGAGGCTTGGCAGCCCGCGGCGCCGGCCGAGAGGTGAGCTGAGCGCCCGGGCGCGCGGCGGGGAGGCCCGGGGGTGGGGTGGGGGAGTGGAGGGGCGCGCGGGGCCGTTTCTCCCCCTCCTGCCCCCCGCCGCCGCCGCCGCCGCTGCTGCTGCAGCCCGGGTACTCGCGGGCCGACCCCGCGGCGGCGGCGGCGGCGGCGGGGTGGGCGAGCGAGCGAGCGAGCAGCCCCGGGCTCCCGGGCGGGCTCCCCGCCTCGGAGCGGGGTAGTCGGGAAGGTGAAGTGGGAGATGGTGCATTTCTTTCTACTGGCCGACGCGGGGCGGCTGCGGCCCCGGGGAGGGTGGGAGCCGGGCGAGGGCAGCGGCCGGACTCGGGGAAGTGCTGCGGGGTGTGTGTGAGTGTGTGAGTGTGCGTGTGTGCGCGTGTGTGTGAAGGTGAAGCGCGATGTCAGGGCCGGCTCCGTGTCAGCGCCGGGGGGCGGGGGGCGCCGGGTGCCGCGGGCGGACGGGAAGGCGCTGCTGCTGCGGCGGGCGGGGCGGGCGCGCCGGGGCCGGGGCCGGGGCCGGGCCGGCCGGGCCGCGGTGGGGGCGGGGAGCCCGGGAGGGGGGTGGTGGGGGCCGGACCGCCGCGGCGCCGAGCCGGGCTCGCCCCTGACTTAACTTTCTGGGTGCGGGCATGTGTGCCGGAGGCGCGCTGGGGCCGGGGATGGGGGCGGGAGGCGGTCCGGGAGGTTCCGGGTTGGCTCGCCAGCGCCCCCTCGGCTCCCCCCACCCCCGCCCCCAAGTCCCGACACCCCCGCCCGCTCTCCGCCCCCGAAGGGACAGGCCCTCCGGGCCCCAGGCGGGAAGCAGGAGGGGCCCTCCCGGCCGGCGGCTCGCGACGGGCACGCCCCGGGCCGGGGTCACTTCTTTCTCGGGGGCCCCTGGGGGCGGCGGGGGGGAGGGGGCCGGGGTCGCCGCCGCCGCCGCCGCCGCGAGCTGGCGCTGCCCGCCCCCCGCCCCTCCGGGGAGTCCCAGAGGCGCCTCTTCCGAGATCGGGGGTGGGTCGGTCCCCGGTTAGCTGGTCCCTCCCTCTTCCCCCTCCCTCGAGTGGTTTCCGGGGCCTGCGGGACCGAGGGGCGGGAATCGGGGACTACAGCCCCTGGCCGCAGCCCCTCGCCGGACCGGGCTCGGACGCCGCCGGGCTCTGCCACTGGGAGGGGGAAACTTTCCCAAATCGGGGACCTGTCCCGAACACCCTCTCCGGCCACCTCGTCCTCTAATCCTACTCCCACTCCACCTCCTCCAACGCCTTCCCCTCCCACCGACCCGAATCTCGCCGCGAGTGACTGACGGGGGCGGGAGCCAATCGGCGGCGGGGTACTGACGTGCTGGGGTAGCGGTAAGCCAATCGCGGAACCCGAAGGAAGGGAGGGGGCGGGGCTTCTTCCGGGCCAGTTAGAGCGGAGTTGCACGCGGGGCGGGGGAGTCATGGAGACGCCGAGAGCTATCCAGTCTTGTCCATCCCTCGTCACTTGCTCGCGGGTCTCGGGAGGGGGTGGTGTCACGGAGAGGGACGCTGCCCTGGGGGGAGCGGAGAGGGCACGAGATCCTCTGCCTTTCGGGGACCCCAGGAGACGTTGTCTTCCACACGACGTAGTCTCAGAGCCACTTAACGATGTGGCAGTAACTCTGGGAGGCCCTTTTCTAAAATGGCATATGTTGTAGTAATTGTGTTTTGGACCTAGGCGCCCGGCTTTCCTGCCGAGGATCATAGAAGTGAATCGCCTACCTTTTAATCAGTTTCGCTCAACTCTCCCGGCCTGGGGGACAGACAATGAAATATGAAAGAGTACTTGGAAAATGAAGGCATTGGACAGCCTGACGTCAATTGATTGTTGGGGAGTGTAAAGCATCATTGTTTGGAATGGCTTCACTGGTCCCTTGTTTAATTAGACTGCTCACTTCCAAAGCGCACTTGGAAGTTCATCATTTAGGAATGACCAAAAACAAAAAAGTTGGGGTTTATGGTATGTGTTGTTAGCTTGCTGAGTAAATGAAGTTGGGAACCAAAGCATCCCTGTTTGAAGCAGAAAAAGCATTGGTGTTGAAGGAGCAGAACCGATAAAAGAATAGTCTTCGCGGAACAGAACGTTCAAGTCGAATGCGATTTGGCAGAACGCAGGAGTCTTAAAAGATTGACAAAAGGTTCTTAAACTTGACTATTTTCTGTTTTCTTAATCACAGAATTCCACACAGTGTGGGCCCTTGATTAATGCAGGTTAGGAGACTCTGTGGTTGGTTTTTAGCAGACTGTTGCGTTGTGTAGGGTCACTTTCTCAACTCTTTAAGAATCTTCTCTGGAAGGATCATAGGTTGCTCCCAAAGAAGAGCAGTCTTAAAAGATAGACAGCAGCTGTTACAGTGCCTGTGTGTGTGTGTGTGTGTGTGTGTGTGTTGTTTGTGTGTATGTGTGTGCATGTATGTGTGCATGTGCCTGCTTGTGTTCCTTTGTTGGTGAGATTAGTGCACACTGACAGCAAGGCTCCTTTTCCCAGTTGGAATTTGTAGTCTTTTTGTAAATTCAAAGAGGAAATAGTGTTAAATGGACAATAAATCTGTTCATTTTCTGATAAATATCCCATGAACTTAATTATTCTTGAAATTTTTTGGAAATATATTATGTCATTGATATTTAGTCTGTGTTGGTTTCTTAAGCTCTTGTTGTTGTTATTATTATTATTATTGGATTACTAAAGAACTGAAGGGGACTAGTTTTATGTAATATTTTCCCACCCTATGTGTTGTGTTGTAATAGATTATCTTCAAATTTTTACTGTGAATTCCCAGTGCTAGTATAATTTGAAGTGTTCCTGTAGACATATATATTAACCACATTTTTGCTGTAGCTTGTGTTGTTGTTTTAGTGATAAAGTAATAAGAGCACGAAGATAAAACATGTATTTAGCTGCCTGAAATAGAGTTGTATAAATTAGATAACATTCAAAATTTGACAGCATTCAAAACGGCCAGTCAGTAGTTAATTTAGTTAGTGATGACCTCTCTGACGTCCGCCCTCCTCTCTCTTTTGTATGCTTAAGAGCAACATACTGTTTGACTTCATTCTCTTCCATTCGCAAAAAAAACGCTCTCAGATTCTTGGTGGAGAAAGGAGCAGGCCCTTACTGCCTGGTGTTGGGGGGTGGAGAAGCGAGACCTCTCAAGCATATGGAGACATCTAGAAAAAGATGTGCACCGTCAGCTGTGATTCCATTGTGTGCTCTCTGCAGATCCAGCCTTCCTCCTCCTGGGAATTTCAGTCTTCACCGAGGAGTTCTTTTGACTCTTCTGTGTCTGGGATGGATACTGAAGCAGAGAATTACAGATTTAATATTTTTTTTAAAGATAGTTGGGCTTTAGTCCGTCACAGTTAAATTTAATTTACATGACTCCTGTTCAGTGTTAGAGAAGCGTTTTACTGGGAATGTAAAGTGTAAGGGGACTTGGTCTGTGGTTTGGGAGTGCATAAAAGGGGCGCTGCTCCTTGTTCAGCTTTACCAACACTTTATTAAAGCTCACCGGGCCTCTGTGTCAAGAACCTGGGGCCAAATACCTTATATTTAGGGATTCAGTTCTTTAGCTGTTTCAAATCACATCACGTTGAAATGTGACCCATACATTTGAGCAGACCTTAGGTTGTGAGTAGTAAGAAAAATAAAAAAAAACAACAACTGAAAGTGTCTTTAAATAGCTTTGCTGGAGAATTAATTTTCAGAAATGCATACTGTGTTTTTATTTGATCAGCCATTTTTATGTCATAATTAAATTCATATTTAAGAGTAAAATTAGACTTAGTATTTTTATGGCAGAACTGCTATTTAAGAAATTACTGTTTTTTCAATACGCTGTCTTTATACTTTTGTTTGCTGGTTTATTACATGCTATATACAGTTTAGATTAAGAGACTAGGAGGGAGAAGATAATGGTTTAAGGTATTGGTTTTGTATTGCAGTATCATAAAACCAGTAGCATATCAGGATCTTTTTTCCAAATGAAATAATCATATTTAGATATCAGTGACCTCTTGGGGGGGGTCACAAAACAGAACACTCAGTTTTTATACTTTGATATCCACCTAACTTTTTTCTAAACAACAACAAAAAAATGTTTGCATTACTAATTATTTCCTTTTTGTTTTGTTGTAAAGCCTTGGAGAAGGTTTTATGAATTTCAAAGAGTAGAATGAATCTTCCTTTTTATTCTTCAAAGCTTGTAAAAGTAAATTACTAGAGAAATCTATAAAATACAATTTGAGTATCATAGGTCACATACCCTCAATTCAGAACATTTGTAAGAACGTATAAACTGAATTCTAGATGCCAGTTTCTAAATATTGGCGAGTATGTAACTTTTGTGAATGTTTTCAGAGCTGGCATATTTTTTTCCTAGCTGTTGTAAAACTGAGACAAAAGCTGAACAGAAATTTTAAACTTTAGCTGTGAAGTAAC